CCTTTCCCTGGTAGTTATATAACACTAAAATAGACATTCTATGTATCTCTCTATGCATATTTACACATATATACAGGATGCTATATTACAGTAGGGCCAAGGTAGAGCAGCAGCACAGAAAAACAAAGTTACATACAACTTTCAATTTCCTTAAAAATTACAATGAATAAAATAAGGTTGCCATTGGCGTTCACTAAGTATTACTGCCCTTCAATATCACTGGCACCTTGCGGATAACAATAATTTGTGTTTTTTCTAATTCGAAAATGGTTATTGCACTCTAATGAGCCCAGTACAGTGAATTTGAATTTCCTGATAAACTGGAGGAGAGGGAGCAATGCAAGCAATGGCCATGTGCTGCAATGCACTAAGGGTTCCAGCAGCAGGAAGTGGGGTTAAACGGTGTAACAATTACCCTTAATTAACATGTTGAGACAGCTGCTGAGATAGCTAAACCTGATATGTTTGCTGATCTGGGGTTGAGAGTTGTTACTCTCAGCACAAGTGATCTTTAGCAAGGCTATGTGTTGTTACTAAGGGGGGATTGATATGATTTGTCAATACATATTGTTCCAATTGTTTTTTTTTACCCACAGTGCTGACAACCTTTCTCATGGAGAAGGTGCATAGCTGAAAATGAAATGGCGTTTCCCATTATCCGTAAGAAGGGTTAGTGAAGGGCAGTGAGAAAGGCTAATAATAGGCAGGCCGGAAGAACCTTGACACAGTGGAGGAATAGAGAGTTGCACATTCCTTCCTGTCACCACAATGTGGATTGAATCTGTACCTTTGGCACTCTGGTCTCCCATGTTGCCTTCATTAGCCAAAAACAACTTGTAAGAGAACTAATACGTTTATATAAAAAATACAAAAACATTAAACCACAGACAAAAGAGTTACACAACAAAGCCTCAGCAGAGTTACCACACATCAATGAAAAGTGTAGATCACCACAGACTGAAGCCTTCAGCTTAAAAAACAAACACTTGAGTGTGTGAGGAAGAACTAGAGCTGGCTTGCTTCCATGCTAACTGAGGGATAACATTCTCGGTTCTTAATGGTAGCTGTAAATACAATGAAGGTAACTAGTCTCTTCAAGCTAATCCCTATGGCTATCTAGTTAGCATACAGATCTTCAACACAGGATTTGAAAATGGTTCACAGCAGCAGCCAAACACATAATGCATTTCTCTTTTCTGATAATACTAAGTGTTGCTGGACCACCTTGCTCAAAGAATTGTAAATTAAAGCCTCTGGTGAGAATATACTGTCTGGAGTCTTTTTTTCCTAATTTTTCTGCATGATGCATTTTTAGAAGACAGTTCACAAAACAGAACCTCACAGCTACTCTCAAAATGGCTTTTCTGGTCTGCTGACTGCGTCCGGTGCTTTGCACATGACACTGTTTGTGTTTCTGCACCGACACCCGGGTCGGCTTGCTTGGTCGTAGCATTTCTGAGAAAGTTTTACGCAGCCAGTGGCCGGAAGATAGCAAAGCAAGCATGGGAGGACCAATGACAAGGCACTCATGAAAGACCAGCGAGCACAGCAGTTGGAGTGAGAGCAGGAACACGGATGATCTGCGCAGGAGCCTTCATCATCTTCGTTGGTGCAGTGGTAAAAGACTCCCTTGACTAGACACATGCAAGTTGAATAGTTGACCATATTCTGTGCGGAACACAGACATTCCTGGTTGCAAATCCAGCAGGAAGGTAAGGTCCGAGGAGTTGTACAGTCTTTGCATTTACATCTGCCACAGGCCTCACAAAGTAAAAAGTGCTTGTCCAATTCTTGATTCAAGGGTCCTTTAACATCCTGAGGCTTACAGTTAATCACTTTAGGCTGTATCCTTACTGCCCTAGGAGGAGATTGATCAACCACAGGAGGTGGGGCCATGTGGTCCAAAAGTCTCTGATCTGAAGAGGTACTACTGCTACTGCTAATTGAGCTGGGCCGTCCACTGAATGATATCCAAGGATGTGTAATATCAGCTTCACATCTCTGCAAATGTTGATTGATGAGAAAAGGCTCGTGTGAGCCCCTGTTGAGCTTTTGATTGGCTAGCTGACTTAGAGCTGGGTTGTCAATGTAATCATTTTCAAGATGAGTGGTCTTCATCTGATCAATCGGAAGGATGGTGAGCGGATGTTGTAATCTTCCATATGGAACGCGGCCATCTAGTAGAGGCTGCACCATGACTGAATTTGGTACCACAGTAATGCTGTGTGGAATCCTGGAATCCATTGACCTCCTCTGAAAATGATGAGACTTTCTTAAAAAATCTGTACAAAAAATAAAATAAAGGTGGGTTTCATTAGTACAATGCTTTCTTATTTATAATATAATGTGCATTATGAAGAATATTTAATTAAGAATTGTGATTTCAGTTTATGTGCATATCACAAGGATAATATCCTGTTGCCTCAGAATCCTATGCTCAAATGCTTTATGCCAACTGCATCAGTGGTAATAATACAGATCATTTACTCACAGTGTTAAAAAGTGAACTAACAATCACCCGTAATTTCTGACTTGCCAGGTGTAAGCAAGATTAACAAGTCTGATTGTTTGCTAATGTCCAGAAACATGTTAGTAAATCACACCTAGAGACCTCTAAATAACCTCCCTTTTTGATGCATGCTGTGCTCATGGTCTCAATGTAAACTAAGTTGCCCTAGCACATTTTGACAATCAAGGAAAGGGGGAAGGGGGGGGGACAAGGCAAAAAAGCAGATGAACTAGCGCATGCATTGACAGTCTTAAAGAACAGAGCAACATGCATTACCCCATCGCAATCGGTTGATAATCACAGATCTCTATGTTGCCTTAGTAAATAAACACAAAAATGCCTTTCCTATCTGTTAAAAGTAAATACAAAAGCACCGCCCAAGAACAAAAAAAGAAACAAAAATATTATACATGTGCAGATTCCAGCTTTCAACCTACCAAAGGTTAGGCATAGCTATCTTCACTTAGAAAATTGGACTGATTTACTAAAGGAGTTGCTAATTGTGTGAATATATTTATTTAAATTATCCAAACATGTGAAAAGCAAATTCCTGTTTGCTTATTTCATCTGCATATGATTGGATATTCAAAGTGAACAAGAATTTGCTTTTCACGTGCTCCGATAATTATTGAAGTGAAAATTCACTCAATTTATTGAGTGAAGATTCTCAACGCCTTTAGTAAATCAGCCTCATTGCATATTACTATCTAAATATGGTATTTCCACAGGACATGTTCACTTACTGTTTTTTTTTTTTTTTAAGTCAGAGAGGTGTAACAGAGTTGTATCTTCACAGCATTGACCATCCTAAATGATCCCGTTTTACTAGTATGGCTGACTGGCTGTGTTGCTTTAGTTTCTGATTTCATCGAAAGAGAGCAGTTCAGAACTGGAATCTATCCAGTTACCCAGCAGCTATGCAAGTCAAAAGAGCACAGGAAGCAACTAAGCTTAATTCAAAGAGCGGATACGGCCCGGCTCCAATTTAGAAAGTGCACATTGTTTTCTATGAGACGTAGTGCTTCCTAGTCGAGCGACCTTTTGTTTGTAAGCACTATTTGAAAAATCACTTAAAGGGGAAGTGCACATGCAGGCTCACATTCACACTGGTGTAAACTAACTGAGCTCTTTGTGTTATTAAATAATATTATGTAAACACCTAATCAGTTATAGAGAAATGTAACGGACGGCATTTTTTTTTTCTCTATGCACACTGATAGCTTGCTGCGAATGACTAGAAAAGTTTAGTACTAAAGATTTTCAGCAGATATACAAGTACATTGCACTTTGCTAGTACAACTGTCATGCAAAATAAAGAACGATATTTGTAAGCGGCTACTTCACACTCTTGCTGCTTATGCCTTGCTATTAAGGATGTCTGATTATGTTCAGATTTATCAGGGACTCCATCTCTGCGTGTTTTAACCATGCCCTCAATAAAATAGTAGTAGAGGCCCCAGCTAGCTACAAGCTTAGTTAATGAAGACTTCAGCTTTATGAGTTAAAGGCTAATAGAATGAATATGAGTATTGCAGACATCTGAATCTGTTATATGTTGTGTATGGGTATTGTTAGTTTAAGTGCTTTACGGAGTTTTGCAACTCTTTCCTTAAAGTTACACTGTTTGTCTCTACCAACTGATATAGGTAAATTAAGTTCGTGTCCAGGACAGCCTCCTGGGAGGGGGGGTTAAAAATTAAATTTTAACTTCCCTTTTCTGCCACTTCTCTTTAAAGAAGAACGCTGGGCAAAACTTTTCTTAACCCTTGCAAAGGTTAAGTGCTTGTTTTCGTCTAGATGTGAAAATAAAGTTATACTCACCCAAACCTCAGAGCTGGCTGGCTGTTAAAGCTCTTCCTCCAGCCTGTCTCCTCCTATGATCCAGTGATGGTGTTTCCCTTGGCGTCCTCACATCCCATACACAGTGTTTTGGGCGTGATGACTCAAGGATTGAACAAACGTTCCGATATCGATTTCGTTCGTTCCAAATCTCTAACTGTGTGTACCCAACTTTAGACAGCTGCAGTGGAGGGGAAGCGAGGCTGGAAGGGCCAGTCTAAGAGGCAGCTGGTTTCAAGGATGGGGAGAGCATAGGTTTGTTATTTTTTCAGCCTATGACTGCACTCGGTGTTGTTTTATAACACCAAACAATTGAACATTTGTATAAAGAGATATACAGAACCTAAATACAGCAAAAGGGGGGGATTTGCTGTATTTCCTTGCCTACATGGGTAGGCCACCCTGGTCTGTACCATCAGGAAGCTGCACACCACCATTTTTCACCCCCTGCCCACAAACAGATTTGTGTGTCTAACACCCCCTTCAGAGCGCTGGATTTCTGGACTGTCCCAACAATTTTTCATACAGAACCTAAACGGCTATCTCTGGCTAGAATAGTTTCTTGATTCGCCGGCCTGGGGCAAGCATGCAGATGACAATGATCTGCATACATTTTTTTAAATGATAGAAGCTGTGGGATCGGCATGATGGCCAGGCACCTAGCATTTTCAGAAGAAGTCAGCAATGGCAGCCCTCCTATTCTTTTAGTACAGGTTCCCTTTAAGATTCAGACCACAGCGCTATATAACACCCTTGTCCTTGCTTTGCCAACACTGCAGTAGGTTTTCCTTGAGCTACATAAACAGGAAGCCGCCTCTCATAACGTTTATGGGGCAACAATGCTCTGATAGATTACATATGCAACACGCTGGGCTTATGAGAAAACAGGTGACTAGAAATTCCACTTTCAGTAGTTTACGATCTGATGCTTCTACTGCAGCCACATCTGCAGTCACAGCTGTTCAAGCTGGGCACACAGCGCAGCCAAATTACTCCCCCCCCCAATCCAATTTCCACATGTTACCCCAAGAGAGGAGAAAAGGAGACAGAGATTGAAAAAAGAACTCAATTCTGTTCTCAACATTCATCCCAAACGTAAGGTCTGGAACTTCTTGGCTGCCTAACTATAGCTTACTATATTTACTATACTAATTCTTCTACCTTCCAAATCCAGATAATGTTGACTGCAAGCTGAAAGTCAAATGCTTATAGTTAGTACTGACCTATGGATAATATGATGATTCCATCTGGTCAGATCCACAAAAGGACATCTGAGTCTCTGTGTAAAACAAAATGGTAATTTTCTCGTTTTATTACAAAATAGGGATTTTCTGAGAAGCCAACTCAGTATACGTCTATAATTCTAAAAAACGTATAATATTCTGAGCGTGGAATATTATAAGTTAGCCAATAGTTTCATTTCACACTGTAAAATTAACAGCGTCAATGGCACATTTTGGAGTTAATATGTACAAATTTTTATTCTCTATTCATGCAAATTCCAAATGACCTAACTGAAGGGGTAGTCACATTAGGTCTCATTTGAAATTGTATGTCCTTTTATTAGGGCATGATTTAACTTATGAATAATGCATAAATGTTGATACTTTGAAAATAAATATTAGCAATTATTAAAAGGCCATTGGGACAGACAAAAATTCATAATATGCCAAATACAGAGCTGTGATCCTATGATACTAGACAGATGTCAGGATATGCACTTTGAGTAACACATTCTAAACTACTAGGCTTACTTAAAAGAATGCAGTGCAAAGGTTAAAAAAAGATGTGGATAAGTGCAGTTACTTGTAGCAACAAAATGATATCTATCATCCGCTTAAAGTGGTCAGCATAATAAAGGTTATTGACTGGTAGCTGGGAGTAACTACATGCTGCACATTGCCTTAGTAAATAAGCTGCTAAAATCTCCTGCGTACAAGTTGTAAGGCAATGTAAGTACACAAAAAAAGGTCAAATAGCAGCCACTGTGACTGTGAAATGAAGTTGGGGTCGAATGGGCTGTTGATATTCAGACTCCTTAAACAATCCTGGTTTTAATCTAGTTTAGTCAGAATTGTCCAGGCTAGAAAGGAACCACTCAGTCTAATTGAGCACTTCCTACTCTCCACTGGTCAATCAGGCAAGACTGCGGCAGCTCTGACACCTACACATCCTTTTAGCAGATGCCTGATAATCTGCCAGACATTGATAAGGATAAAATATCACCCCATTCAAGTACCACTCACCACGCAGAAACTATCTGTGAACCATCAGTCTTCACAAACCTGATACAGAAGCCTGACTTTCCTGTTACTTCTAAGCAATATGCAAAAGCAATTAAATGTAATCTCCGGATTAAACAGGAACTGGCAACCAGGAGAGGAAGAAAACGCATACTGTTTGTTTGCTATCTGGACACAATTCATTTGCACGCTTTTAAGACTTTCTGTACTCCGACAAAATGAGTGTTGATGATTAACTACTGGGAGGCAATTCTACAAATTCCTCATGGTTCTGAATGCTACACAATTTTGTCCTACCTTAACCCGAGGTAATAATAGGTGCAGCTACTAATTGATAAGGGTTCAATTATTAGGCTTCTCAGAAGCTAGTTATAGCTATACTACAGGGCTGCACAAGTTCATAAATGATACAGCTGTCAATCAATTCAAGATAGGGACAGAAGGAACTTCTAAGGACCCACCAAGAAAGTTGGCCATCAGCTACCAATTTTAGGCAGACTGGAGGTAAGGCTCTTGTCATTTTTCCATCTTTGCCTACTGCAACTACTGCAAGAAAACTATCAGGCTTGAGTCATCAACTGACCTATAATATCTATATGTTATATCACAAGTATCGTAGCTCACAAAACAGGTGATATTAGAGATAGAGAATGATACAGAATAGACTGGCTTCCTAGATAACAGCTTCCATTTTAAACAGGCACTCAAAGTGATGTAAACTGATAAAATTCCAAGATTTAATTTCCCCTCATAGCCTTTAAAAAACTCATCTTCTATCCTTTATCAAATGACCCACCTAAACTGTAGACTCCTGGTACAATATTTAAAAGGGGCCATCTGTAAATTCGGACAATATATGTGAAAATCTTGACTGCTAGTGTTTCCTTGCCTGTAAAGGCACTAAATATTACTTATGATATACTTATACCCACACAGAAATAAAAAATACCCTCCATTAAACAAAGCAATTATATATTCACATCGCAATTGGCCATGGGCACTGAAAGGTGAATCCTTTAAAAATGTAAAATGTTAATTGTAGGATTTTACCAAGCCGAACTATTAGCTTTAATACAGTCGGGGAAAAATGCTTACTATGAAAATCACAGTAAAAGCCCATGAATGAATCTCTGCTGCGGATAATGGCAAAAGAGCCTGCAGTAAATGATGCCTTGAATGGCTCTATAATTAGCTATATGCTGAATGGATGTGCTACTACACTACTGTGATTACAAAAGTGAAAATCAGGAGGAAGAGGTGACACTATATCAAAATCAAGGATTCTTCTTTCCACTAGGACAACTGGAGAAAAGGTAAAGGTTTTATGACAACAATTAAGGGGTAACTTCCAGATTTTATCATCAGCTTTCCTTGAAATAAATATAGCTTCTAAAAACTAAAATGTATACCACTTAAATCTCCCATCTGTTCCCTTTTTTTATAATGGGGCTGCAAATGGCACGATTGTGTCCACACCCAAAAAAAATGTCGCGTAAGACCTGTAACATCCGTCCATCTATTTAGCTATCCCAATGATGACAACAATTGACACAACATATGGAATAATTGCTGTTCCCTAATTTCAGGCTTCACCAGTTATCTACAAAATTGAAATGAATGTTAAATATTTTTAATATGAATTGCATATTTTAACATTCGTTATCCCTACATATATAGATACGGATCAGTGTACAGTCTTAACAATGAGTTACTGACATTGTACCTGGCACACTACTGCGTCTGACGGTCTACTGTATTAAGTAGAAACATATACAGTAGATTGTGGGTTCACCAGAAACAATCAAGGAGATACCATGTTCTCAGTCGTACACAAAATTCATATCTCACCCTGTGTATATGCTGCACCAAGCACACATCAAGGGAAAAAACACAATATAACAAGTCACAGTGATGTACAGTGCGGCAGGTTATTTGTAAGCGTTTAAACATTTACTCAAGATAAAATGTTTGCAGAACATCTGCTAGGGATTTCATAAGAAAGGAACCATACATGGCAGGCTCAGCGATTCTGTTTTCTAAAGAGAACAATCTAGCAGGGCCTTCTCCTCAACAACATGTATATCAGTAACCCAATGTACATTTTAAATGACATATCACCCCATTGTAGCCTCCCTGCCTCTAATCCTGCACCAGTCCAGCTACAAAGGGATCTCCTTCCCATGGATTTCATGTTTGACAGGTCTAAATGATGAAGAGATAAGCCCTCATCAGAAGGCGACAGGTCTGAATAATGATGACAACACATCATCAGATGGATTATTCGTACACTAATGCCTTGTCGTTGTCATAATATAGAAGAGAAACCCCCATTCGGGTGGTGCAGGGTTGTGGAAATGGTTTGCAATGTTTCTGCGTAGTTGCAGTGCATTGGTGGGCCGGATCTCCGGGATTCTGCCATTCCTGCATCCAGATCAGCCCCGATCCCTACCAAATGCCCGGCTAGGTAAGGTGTTATGACGTCACGCCTGGCATTTTAGGACCTGCACCGTGCACCCCGACATGCATATACATTAGAGTCTGCTCTAAGGCATAGTGCGTCATCAGCACTGCAAAACCCACCAAATCCGCAACACAAAGCCTTCCCTACAGCCAGCCACCACAAATCCCGTTCTGTAGAGATGAGACGATTTTCTGACATCGCAATCTCCATTCAACCCACACATCTGCCCGATCAGCAAAGCCTAGGGGAATGAAGCGATCGCAGGCCGATCTCTCTAATACAGAGTGACAGGGGGAATCTTATGAACAGATAAAGGGGCCAAGATGTCAGGACAAGGCTGGGAACGATCAGCCAGTGTACAGTCGTCTGAGAACACCGATCTCCCCCCCGGGCAGGTTGCATGTATTGCATTTCCAATCCAGGCAGCTGGGATTTCCTGCAGCACTGCACCCCCACCCCCCTTTGACAGATCGCAAACTGCCTGCTAAAGAAAGGCGATTTGCATGTGGCCAAGGATCTCAAGCCCTGTCCTGGACATACAAAAAAAACAAAAAAAGAATAGAAAGAAGAGTGGATCGTGCCCTGTCCACTGAACATCGCACAATAAATCCTGCCAATTCTCCCATACCAGCCAGTGTATCTGATGGGCTTACTTGCAAGAATTCAGCAAGGCTCATTTCTCAGTAATCCAAAAATCACAGAATGTCCCCAGCTGTGCACATGAAAGCCCTCAGTACAAGCACTGACGATCCAGGCTGCATAGCTCCTCTGCTGTCAGCTCGCTTTCGATGTTGCAACTCCCTGGGAAAATGGCTTTTTATGAATGGGAGGGCTGCGGCCCACGGCGCATGCGCGCTCTGCCCGCACGATTCTTATGAATGGGAGGGAAGAGGACAGCGCGCCTGCGCGAACCCCCCTACCCTCCCCACGATTCTTATGAATGGGGGTGGGCGCGGGGTGCCAGGTCGCATGCGCAGAAGCTTTTTTTTTTTTATGAATGGGGACCGGAACCTAACCTGCTGCGCTCATTGCAAAGCGAGCTGTTCTTTTATGAATGGAAGACAGCTGAATAAACCGCGCGTGTACTGCAAGCCCTGGAGGGATGGAGGGAGGGGGGAGGAGGAGGGCTGCCATAGGGGAGGGGGAAGGGAAGCTTCTACATTTACATCCAACTATATGGAAAGCAGATGAGCCCATCAGGCGTTCTATTAATATAGCCAACGCTGCATCACTGAACACATTAGGATTGCTTCTGCGGCAGAGCTTCCAAACGCTTAATTTATCATAAAATAGATATAAACCCAAGTCCCTGGCATACGTTTGCTACAGAAACAGTTGCCTTTTTTGAAAAATAAAATATTTGTTTTTCATCCTATGTTGCATCTCAGCGCTGCTGATCTCCTTCGGCCTCATGCAGTCACTTCCTACCTAAATACATACACTCTATTGGTGGCTACATGTAGCCATACACCTACATGGCATTATTCAGGGCAGGTTTACTAATGCTGACCACAGTGGACCATGTCTGTGTAATGTGTGATGAAATGGCCACTTGGAGTCTCCATCAGTGGGCTGGGTGACCACATAGAGGCACAATTGGGAGGTGGCCAACCCCACAATAGGAAGTGCCCGGAAAAGGTCTAATATGGCAGGATCATCAGTTGTTATTTTTAATGGAAGTGGCAGATGTCATCATTGGAAGACAACACAGGAGCACAATTGGGAGATGTCACCCTATAACAGGAAGTGTCTGCACAAGGACCTTCATGGCCGGTTCACCAGGTATTACTTTAATGGAAGCTGCAGACGTAGTGTCCATCAGAAGACTGTGTGGCAGGATGACAATGCAGGAACTCTGTTGGATCACCGGGTATTATTTTAATGAAAGTTGCAAATGTAATGTTTATCAGATAAGTGTGTGACAGGGTGACAACTCAGGAGCACAACTGAGAGATGACAAGGGCAATGTCACCCCACAACAGGAAGTGTTTGCACAAAGACCTTCATGGCCAGATCACCAGGTATTTTAATGAAAGCTGCAGATTTAATGTCCATCAGTGTGACAGGGTGACAATGCAGGTGCTCTATTGGGAGACAGGGACAGAGTGTTGTCACTCCACAATGGGAAGTGCCTGAACAAGGACCTTCATGGCAAGATGACCAGTTATTATTTTAATGAAAGCTGCAAATGTAGTGTTCATCGGACAAGTGTGTGACAACTCAGGAGCACAAATGGGGGATGAACAGACCTTTGTCATTCCAGTACAGGGTGTGCCTGCACAAGGGCCTTCATGGCAGGATCACCAGGTATTTTTTTTCAGTTTGTAGACACAATAATTACATTTGTGTGCAATATTAATTTTGCAATGAGGACATGAGTTTAATGTAATGACTCCAGTCCTCCCCCATCCCCTCCTGTGTGTTCTCCCATAGGGATTGTAGCATCACATATCGAACATATAATGATCCTGTGTCCAGTCAGGGAACAATATCCATACGTCTGCATTTATTTCCGGGCAGGGCGAAGGGAGCAGCAGACAGGCACGGCTAAACCAAACACCTTTGTTACCATTTCCATTCAATTGCTTCTTCCCATACTGTTCTGGATGGCATTTTCTATACGGATTTAACTACGCATGAAACTTTGAATCACATAGCAACAGCTTAACCTCCTCTTGACAACTGCCTCACTTGCAATACATTGTCTTCAATGTAGGGGGTTAATCTCATGCTGCTTAGTGATTAAACATTTCACACGGAGTTAACCCTTGTCTGCTTATTTGTATATTATAGGTAAACCCAACACAAAAATGTCATATAAGCTGTAGCATGGGCACCCGTTCCCACCAACATAACGCATTTATGTGGCAGTACGGCGGTTGAGCCTTAATGCAGAGCTGCTTTATATTTGGGTCAGCTGCTGCACTGTACTGTTATAAGAGTGTGCTCACTGGTGAGCTCTCAGCAAACTGACCGAGCTGTCAATGATAGCTGGCAGTCAGTGTTCACAATTGGGACCCGCCCTAAATAGTGCTAGGCGACAATGCTCTGTCCCTTAAAGGCACAGGGACGCACAAGGGACCCAACACATCACAACGGCAGCTGAGGCACCCCATGCGTCACTGCACCATATCAGTCAAGCAAAACAAATGGCAAATGCACTCATCAATTTGTTACCAGCTTTACAGCAAGATGCACATGGAAGGGCCTAATACAGTACAACAGCAAAAAGTTTCCCAGCACACTCACCAGCCAGCATGCAAAAAACTTGTCTCACTGCTAAGGTTAAAAACAGAGGTTTAGGTACACGTCTTCTGCAGAAAATGTGAAAGCCGCACATCTGCGCCAAGGCCCCTCTATATAGTGACAAACCTGCACCCAATTTAATCTTTTGCCACGTGCTCCAAGATGGAGACTCTCATAGTTTAGAGTTAGGAACGCACTATATAGAGGTGCCTTGGCGTGGCTGTGCAGCTTTCACATTTTCTGCAGAAGACGTGTATCTAAACCTCTGTTTTTAACCTTAGCGGTGAGACAAGTTTTTTTGCATGCTGGCTGGTGAGTGTGCTGGTCCTCAGTTCTGGGCCTTTCTTTCGCAGTCTGATTGCTGCTGTACATGGAATTACAGGAGACTGATGCCAAGTCAGATTTACAGGGATCCCAACCTGAAATAAGTAATTTCAGGGATTTTTAGTGTTTTTTTTTAGTGTTCTGACAGCTGCTGCCGTCTGGACAAAAAACAAAAAATGGCATAGATACTAATAGCTAGATTACTATTGGCTGTCAAAATGCAATAGTCAATAGCAAGCTGGCTATTGCACCCGCCCTCTGCTGCTGTCGGTCAGCAGAGGTGGACCTGATGGAGAACTTCAGGTCCACCTCTGCTGATTGACAGCAGCAGTGGGCGGGTGCAATAGCCAGCTTGCTATTGGCTTTTGCAACTTGAAATAGCCAATAGCAATCTAGCTATTAGTTCCTATGCCGTTTTTTTTTTTGTCTGACTGACGGCGCCGACTGCCCCAATGTCAGAAAAAAAACAAAAAACAGACAGCACGGAAAGGTTTACTCTGCTAGATTGGGCAGAGTAAACCTTTCCGGGAGAAAATGATTCACTCCCGGGTGTCTGGGAGCCACTATGTAATAGGGGAGACTCCTGGAACATCCGGGACAGTTGAGATGTCTGGATACAGGTGCTTACAACAGCTGAAATTAAAACTACATTTAATATTTTTTTTATTGAGTATATAAGTACATTCAGTGTCTTTGTTTTTTATATCTGCCTGGAGTTCAGCAATGAGCTACCATTTGAGAAAAGCTGAAGTTCACATTTTATTAATACATGACGTCCTTGGATATTATTCCCTGCTGATACGGTGTCTTTTTCCTTTAGCTAAAGACAAAGCTTGCTGACTCGGGATGTATATATTTGGAAGTCTTGGCTGTTCCTCTTCCACATTTCCCTAATAGTATGTTTTGTTGATTAATCTTGGAAACACATAATTTCCGTGCATGATTCAGTGGGGACTGTTTCCCAGGAAAGCCCTCCCTTTAATAGTGGTCTGTCTGCAATGTTAGCAGTGTCTGTGATAAGATGAATTGCTTACTTTGTTTATCATTTGCTTATAACTGCTTATTCCTTTCCATTGAGACAATACACTCGTCTGAATGTTCGTCTAAACAAGACATGGCTCTCATAATATATGTACAACTAGTAGACTGTATATTGTCTATCATAAGCGTAGCTCACCCCTGAAGTAACCACCAGAATAACCCGGGTCATCACTAGTTAGTCTACAGTTTTTGGTATTCAGCTGCCCCGTTAGCAGTTAACCGCCCTCTTCTAGTGCCTGTAAAGCTGATGTGCAAGCCAGAAGTATAATGGAAGAGGGAGTTAATTTAAGGACTCCCTCACATGGATCTGCGACGATCCCAGATAGGAAATATTGCCTTGTTTGCTGTTTTCTTTTGTTTTATTTACAGTGTCACTGGCCCTTTAAATTACCTCAGGTAATCCACCTGGAGGTTTGGGCTGGAAAATTTCCTTCCGAAGATTCCAGAACCTTCTCCAGCCTACCCTATATAAAGGAGGACTCTGACTGGGATCAGTGCCAGTTGGTTGGAGAGCACCTCAGCGAGCTTCCCTCCCTCCCTCCCTCCCCTGTCACGGCACCTTTATGTGGTTTGTCACCTCTTGTTAAAGGGGAATAATTTACAGTTAGATGATGGTTTTCGTTGCTTGAGTTGTAATTACTAAGCAATTGATGGTGGTGAATTAAAGTTTGGTTATTCAAGTTTGGTTAAATAAAGTTTAATAGAATTAATACCAATAAAAGTGCCACAGCCAATATTTGCCAATACATTTGTCTGTGTTTTTATTTCATAAAAGTGATAGTAGGGTATCGTCTGCAGTCCCATGCTGAAGAAGTTTTATTAAACATATTCTCTCTGGGAGAGGAGGTGGCTGCAATCATGTTAGAAGACAGTGTTTCAATGACAGTGTATTGATGGACAAATATCTTCCCAAGAACAAAGTATGGGTTGATACCTGTCCTTGAATCAAGAGAGACATGCTCCGTAAAAGTGTTGCTAAAGCCACACATAAAAATGTAATATATTGAAGCTCCCCATTCCTTAGATGTGTTGATTGCATTCAGTTTCTTTTTTTAGACTTTTTTCTCTTTATTTTCAACCTATGATCCAGCCAGTTACATAGTTACATAGTATTTGAGGTTGAATAAAGACATTAGTCCATCAAGTCCAACCTATTAGGATCTCATTCTAGGAGTACCCGTACCCCTGTATATTACGGTCCCTTAAGAAATCGTCCAAAAG